GTGTACGGTCAGTGTGATTGCGTCGTGCGTCCATATTTAATCTATTTTAGCTTTCTAAAAGTACGGCGCATGGCGCATTTTTTTACCGGCATAGTACCTGTCTCTTATACACATCTAGATGTGTATAAGAGACAGGTGTACAATACTCACTTTGTTTGTAAAGTACTGCAATAGCATACAATAGCCAAGTGCCGCTCATGGAACATATCTGTGCTTTTGAAATGTGTAATGTTTGTGAATTAATTCCAAACAGGAAAAAATGACACAATCCGAACACTTATAATTTTCTAAAATGTTTTCATTAGAATCTTTTCTGTTTTGATTTTTGGGGGTTTCAATAACAGTATTTTGATCTCGGCAATGACGAAAAGGAAATACTAGCCTGAAAACCGGCCGCGGAAATGTCTGACGAATTATTAACTCAATTAAAATACTGGGTAGGTTGGCCTAGTGTTTAAAGTTCAGAGTACCATGTAACCATGATTGACGCAGAGAGGCGCGGGCAACCATGGACGATGGTTCGATCCCAGCTCTGTGCGCCAGTTTCTGATCAGAATCGGCAAGGAGGCTGGGCGGTTAAGCAAAGCAGAATTGTAGCAGTGAGTTGCGAGTTCATGACTGCAAAATGCTGTGAATGTTATGCGATGTTAAGAATCGGCGACAGGCCTACGGCCTACCAAACTCTGAATTCGCTATTTTATATTATGGCTGGCCGGGAATATTAAAATAATGGCTGGTATCGATGGAACAACCAGATAAATAAAAGTGTAATTTTTAGAATTATTGCCAGTAATAGGAAATCAATGTCGTTTAGATCATAAAAAATAAGCTTAGATCATTTATTGGTCTTATGTTTGTTGTTACATGTGATCACACCACATGTCAGTGTCACAGTCATACTAACTACGTAACCATAATGAGAGGCCAATGTTGCGACAGACGTGATTCTGGGGAGTGGGGAGTGGGGGACTCATGACTTGACGGTGATCAAGTGAACATATCGGTAACTTGCTCTGCGATTTCCTTGTACTACCTTAATTTGACTGTGATAGTCAAATAATCTCATTCTGATTATCTGTTATTTACATAGTTTGCGAGCGGAAGACACAGGGAGAGTTTCATTTTTCAAAATGGCCCGCTACCAGCGGCGTATGGGGAGGGTGGCATCACCAATTCACCATGGTCCATGTCTGAGTCAGACGAAGACGCGGACTCTTTGCCAGCCTCAAGCGCCAAGATCACTTGATAAAAAACCATCAAATGAAGCAGTCAGCCAATCAGTAACTGTGATTGAAGACTGAAGAGTCCAGTAGTGCCAACTGCCAATAGGACGAAGTGACGAACTGCATACCTGAAACTCCTGAATCATCACCATTGATAGATTATCAATCTTCTCTGGCTTCCTCTTTTAGGAGGGCCAAACTGCCCAGAGATGCTAAGATGAGTAACTTTGAGCGTTTTGCCTGCTCCAAGTCGCCTCCAGGCTCCAACAGTACCAGTGGACTCTTGTTTGAACTTTGAATCAGATATGTCTGAGGAATAGTGAGGATGAGAGCTGGCTAACAGCCTAACCTCAGCTCAAGCACAGCAAAAATCTATTACAGTGCCATTAGAATTAGATAATGCTGGAAGCATAAGCCAACCCAACCAGGAAATAGAACCTACTGGCTACTGCTACTAACAACTCTCAAGGTAAAGTCATTGTTATTGAAACAATTGCTGACCTCCGTCCAGTTGAAAAATTATTTTCTAACAATTTGACCCTGATTAAGGCCTTGGCGGCCAACTCTCTGTTTGGCAAAGCAAGAATTGCTATGGTAAGCAAGAACCTTAGCCACAAAATTCTAGACTTCTAGTTACTATAACCTTTGAGAAAGAACCTGGTTTAAGGATGACCTCTCTTCTAGAAGTTGACCAACTTGATTCATAGAAAATTAGGTGCCATCTCGCCGGGCCTGGCCCGGGGGCCCCTGCCAACCTTACAAAATCAGTTGGAGTATTAGGACCATTGGGTGATGATGTTTCAAACAGTGACCTTTCTGAGGTTTTAGCATTAGCTGGCTATAATGATGCTACTGCTGAAAGAATATTAAAAGGAAAAAACAAAGAAACAACCTCTATGTTTAAGGTTACATTCAATTTGAGCACTCTACCAACCTTTATTCATCTAGGATACTAACAGTTTCAGGTAAACCCCTATTTTGATAAGACTTGGCTTGGCAATGCTTTAAATGCCAATATGGCCCCTCAGGGGGGACTTCTGATGCGTGTCTGCTCGTCAGAACTTCAGAAGTCCTATGGGATTTTGCATTCCTAGGGCTAAGGGGATTGTTCCTAAGCACCCCACTGCTGAGCTCATGGTGTCTTAACTGTAGGTCTCTTTTGTGGTCTTGTGGGGTTGAGTTATTATGTAGGTAGGATTCCTTACATTTCCCTTCTCTGTCTCTCTCGTGCGGGCGGCCGACGTCCCGTGTAAGCAACCTCTTGTTCGAGTGTCTTCGTTTCTGTTGCTTTTCACCTGTCCCTCCTTGTCACTTCGTCTCTTTGAGATGCTAACGCTGCTTCTTTCGAGCCAGCTTCAGCGGGCTGGACATCTGAGACCTTCCACCCCTGTCTCTTATACACATCTAGATGTGTATAAGAGACAGATTTAAATGCAGTGAATGGATATTAAATATTTGAATTGTGCACATGTTTATTTCAAGCAGTATTAGATTTTCTCATAACTTGAGTCTCGTTTCAAGTCGTATGAGGTTTATTTGGTTATCGTTCAGTTTATGTTTAGTATAGGTTTATTGGTCTGAATTAAATGGGAACAGTGCCGTCAGTCACTCAGTCACTACTAGTTGGTTTGTATAGAGGGTAGAGTCTGGTAGATTTATAGGACATAAAACTAGTAGATCCATTGATAGTGCCATGCACTGTGCTATCAGCTACCTATCTATATAGAGTTTCAACAATTTTTCAAGTTTTCTAAAAACTTCCTTTTCAATTACACTTAGGCGTCGAATAATGATTCTGGATAAAAAAGACATTGCGCTGCAACTTCTCCACGCGACAAAATTTCTTCTCACTTCGAATCACCGACATGTGGAACAGCCTCCCCGATGACATCGTTGGCGCTCCAAAGTCCAAGTATGAACGCGTTCAAGAACAGACTAGATAAAGCTATGGAAAAATATATGTTCAGATTTGAAATGCCTAGCTCCTTATTGAACCCAGTGCAAGTCTAGTAGCTACTTCAAACTATCGTCAGTCATGAAAAGATTTGGTCAAATGACACGATTTTAGATCTTCTATGAACAAGGCATGAAAAGGAAAAGAATCGGCGACAGGCCACATTAGGCCTACACTTCAGCGCTGACATCACTATGTTATGTTATGTTAATAGTACAAACTGCATACCTGAAACTCCTGAATCATCACCATTGCTTGATAGATTATCAATCTTCTCTGGCTTCCTCTTCTAGGAGGGCCAAACTGCCCAGAGATGCTAAGATAAGTGACTGAGGGTTTTGCCTGCTCCAACAGTACCAGTGGGCTCTTGTTGGAATCAGATATGTCTGAGGATGAAAGCTGGCTAACCTCAGCTCAAGCACAGCAAAAATCTGTTACAGTGCCATTAGATAAT